GGGCGGAAAGTTCCTTGGGCACATGGTGAGCCGGAAGGGAATTGAGGCAAACCCAGAGAAGGTCAGAGCCATAATGGAGATGGAACCCCCGAAAACAGCAAAGGAAGTGCAGCGGCTGACAGGAAGATTGGCAGCTTTGAATCGTTTCCTCTCAAAGCTGGCAGAAAAGGCACACCCGTTCTTTGCAGTGATCAAGAAGAAGGCGACCTTCGAATGGACACAGGAATGTCAAGAAGCATTTGAGGGACTGAAGAGGTATCTCTCGAGTCCACCGGTTTTATCCAAGCCGGAACCTGGAGACATTCTGACTCTGTATTTAGCAATTGCGGACTGCGCCATAAGTACTGTGATTGTAAAAGAAGAGCATGGGGCCCAACACCCGGTCTACTACATCAGCAAGACCCTGAGAGATGCGGAGTTGAGGTATTCCCGGCCGGAGAAAGCCATGTTGGCGGTTTTCTGGACAGCAAAGAGGTTAACTCCGTACTTTCAGGCCCACCGGATTGTTGTGCTTACTAATGAGCCTTTGGCATCACTCACCCGAAGCCCGGCGGCGTCGGCCCGAATGACAAAATGGGCAATATTCATCAGTCAGTATAACGTGGAGTTCAGGCCGCGTCCATCCATCAAGGGACAAGCACTCGCTGACTTCCAAGTTGAATGCACTGCCAGAGAAGTGACCAGAAATCAGACTGAAATTCGAGCGGAGAAGGACTGGTGGATAATGAGCATTGATGGATCTACTGGGTCCCGATCTTGCGGAGCAGGTATCGTCTTGATCACCCCAGAAAATTTCCGGCTTTATTACGCAATCAGGTTCCGGTTCCGTGTATCCAATAACGAGGCTGAGTATGAGGCCCTGATCAATGGGTTGAAAATTCTTGGCAAGATAGGGGTGTCCAAGGTCCAGGTTTACACTGACTCCCGACTGGTGGTGGGATAGATCACAGGGGAGTTTGAAGCTAAAGAGGAAAGGATGAAGAAATACCGAGACTTGGCCTTAGAGATGCTGGGGAGGTTTGAATTTAAACTTGAACATATTCCCCGGGCCCAAAATGCTGAGGCTGATGTCCTCTCCAAGCTCAGCGCGGAGTCGCCGGAATACATAAGCAGGATAGCAACCGTCGAAGAGCTGGTTACCCCGAGTCTTAACAACAATGAGGTGATCTGGGTATCGGCAGATCCCCCGGAATGGCTGGACCGATTGGCCAAATATATTGAAGACGGTGAGACCCCAGAAGATCCCCAAGAAGCGCGTCTGTTACGGATGAGGGCACCAACTTATAAGGTGCAGAATGGAGTCCTCTACAAGCGATCTTACAACGGCGTTTTGCTCCGTTGCCTTAGGGCAGCGGAAGCGAAGGCACTAATGGAGGAAATACACGAGGGAATTTGTGCCGCGCATCAGGGTCCTTATTCCATTTCCAGGAGGGCTATTATCCAGGGGTACTTCTGGCCAACGATGAGGAAGGATTGTGAAGAATATGTACGCAAGTTTCCGACCTGCCAGCAGTTCCAGAATATACCCGGGAGGCCAGCAACGGATTACACACCCATCAGTTCTGTGATCCCCTTCTCAAGATGGGGAATCGATATTGTGGGGGCCCTGCCAAAAGGGGCGGGGCAGGCAAGGTGGATCGTGGTCGCGATAGACTATTTCACGAAGTGGGTTGAGGCTGAACCACTTGCCGGGATCACCGGGAGGCAAATGATCGACTTCGTTGGGACTAACATACTCTGTCGGTTTGGAGTCCTGAAGCAGATTATATCAGACAATGGAACCCAGTTTGAGGAAGCAGAGTTCCAGAACTTCCTCAAAACCTGGGGAATTCAGCACACGAAGGTGTCTGTTGCGTATCCACAGGCCAACGGACAAGTGGAGAATGTCAACAGAACAATCATCGACGGGATAAAGAAGAAACTACTTTCGGAGGGAAGCAAGTGGGTAGATGAATTGCCCAGGATCCTGTGGACATACAGGACGACTCCCAGGAGAGCCACATACAGGACAAAAAGATTAAGCGATTGGTGGAAGGAGCGGTCGCGGCTTTCCCAAGGTTTGACGGAGAGTTTCTCGCCAGTGAAGAGCATGGGCTAGTCAAGGGGGCCCATTTGCGTTTTGAACGTTATCCTGAGAAGGTAAGAAGTTAAATAGACTAAGACTTCTATCCCATGCAGATGATGGCACGTGCAACAAAATAATATTAAATGACAGAAGGTAAAGGCTCTTTCCATTAAATAGCTCAAAAGGAAGATTACATTCTTTTGGGTTACAGTGGTGGGCCTTGTCCCTGATCTAGTTATGAAACCAAAAGGAGACGGGAGATAAAGATTTTCATTAAATAACTCAAACAGGAAAAAATTACATTCTTTTGGGTTACAGTAATGAACTTTATCCCTGATCTACTTCTATCCTACTGCGGAGGGAAAGTCGCAAGCAATGCGGATCGACACTTCCGGAATCTCAAGGAGTGAATTCGCTGACCCTTGCTTCCCTGCCTGAACCAGAAAGAGAACCTCAAGGCAGGAGAGACATGCAGAGTGTCCGCCGGAGACACTTCATGACATTCACAAAAACTAGGTGGGTACCAACGGGTTGGGATCTAAGACCATTCCGTGGGTACCACCCGGACGTTCCTGTGAGGGTGCCCCACCGTTTTCTCTTGATGACATCCAAAAGAGACGGGACGGAACCAACGGGCTGGAACTGCAAAACATTCCCTCCGGCGGTTCCATCCGGTCATCTCTCTGGAGTCAGACCAGGAGGACGGTAGAGCATGAGGGAGAAACTCCAGGCTTATCCCCGCTTATACGGAAGGAGGGGGCGGATCTTGGAAAACCCCATCTTTCTCCTTCCGTACAGAGGTGTGCATGGTTCCCCCCATGTCGTAGTCCCCCCATTCCTCAGGCTGCTGTCCATAGGACTGCTGAGGGGAGGGAGAACCCTGGGAGGGAGGCCTCGCACCAGAGACCAGCCGGGAAGCTCCTGAATGGGGATTGCGTCTCTTCTGTGGGCGAGAAGTGCCAGGACACCCAGAAGAAACTCCAGCCCTGGCACTGTTAGGAAGCACGTTGGGACCCGGAGGGTAACTCCCCGAGACCTGTTCGGGGAAGTGAAGGTTATTCTCCTCCCTGGGCAAAGGGGAGGTTACCGATTGTTCAGAGGCAAGAGAAGGCCCAGAGGAGAGCTCAGGTGTTGGGGACCCAAGTGAAGGGAACGCCAACGAGGAAGAATCAGAAGAAGAATCAGAAATAGTAAGATCAATGAAGACAACTCTATTGGCATTATTAGCCATGTTGGTGTTGTGATTGTGATATGGAAGGGTTCAGCCTAATCCCTTAAATAGGCGAACAATCCCAAAGGGGAAGCGCAAGGGACGCGGAGTCAAAGCGCTTATCCGATTGGGAGGCAGTTGCGGATTCCCGAGGAGCGCTAGGGTTCCACTGCCTGGACGTTGGGCTAAGGCGAGTTGGGCCCGATTTAATTAAAGTGGGCCAACCACTTAGTACGATGGTAAACACGGTAAAACAGTGGGTTAGAGACATGGTTAAGCCCAAAGCCTAGGCGGATTAAGATTCTGCTAAGTCCGAAACTGGAATTCCAAAAGAAGAACAATCAGATTTATAGAAGAAGTCTACATGAACAAAGATACATCAAAAGTTAACAGTTTACTATCATCCAAATAAGTACAACGAAAAGAGATAAAGTCAAGGCCCCGGATCTGTACGGGAAGCTGGAGGCAAAAGAGGAAGAGGCAGCCCATAGTAGGAGATGAAGTCGTCCAAGGTACGGGACTCCGGAAGACCACTCTGGACTGCTCCGTAAATGCACTGCTGCATGTCGAATTGACCTTCTTCGTAAAGGGCTTGAGCTCGGGCAATCAGGGTGGCCACCTCCTCTTTATGAGCAGCAATGGTCTTCTCCTGTTCGTCTACCTTTGCCCGGAGTTCATTTGCAGCCTGCCTCTCTCCCTTCAACTTCTCGAGGTCAAGCCGTCTGGCCTCCATGTGTCTCAATGCCATCTCATTGATGCGTGAGCCTTCATACTTGGCCTCTTGGAGGGATTTCTCCAGCCCAGAGATCCGGGATTCCTTCTCCACCAGCTCAGCTTGCAGGCTCATTACCAGGTCTTCTGAAGCTGAGACTCTTGATTCCAGGCTGGAAATTTGAGTCCGGAACCTGTCGAACTGCACTTCCAGATCCAAGGTCTCTTTTTGGTAGTTGGCAATCTGGTCTTGCAGGGACTGGACCTTAGATTTCTCAGCTGCAAGCTCCGTGGAGCCATCTGCTTGAAGCCGGGCATTCTCCCCTTGCAAGACCTGGACTTGTTGTTCCAGGGAATCAACCTTTTGTTGTAGGGCCCTGGCGGCCAGCTCCCTTTCCCTCAGGAGCATTACAGCCCGGAAGTTCCCTGATGCTCCACCCAAGTACTCCTCAGTCAAAGTAAGGAGCGATTGATGAGCCTGAAAGAAGGGAAGGGAAATTAAGGAGAAGGACTAACCCGGGAAAGGCGAAGAAATCAATAAAAAGGAAAGGTACCTGTTCCATGAGGTGCAAGGCGTTGAGGGCGAGCAGGTCAGGGCGAGCATGAGGAGTTAGCGGTTCCTGCGCTAATTCCTGCATTCTTGCTAGATTCCCCTGGATAGTCCCATGGGAAGCTTGCAGGGATCTCAAACCACGGGAGAAGCCTTCCCAACCCTCCGCAAAAGCTGAATAGGTCCGCGGTGTGAATCTGCACCGGATGGGGAGGTTGACAGCTGGGGGGGGGGTAGCAGCAGGATGTCTTCCTTCCGACTCTCGCTGCTCCTCCTGAGTCTGTTGTACCTCAGTTTCATTCCTCACTTCTGGGGAAGCTTCGGCATCCCTCTGCTCCCTAGCCTCATTCTCTTCTGGAGGGGAGACCACCGCTTCTGTTTGCATTTCCACTTCCGCTGTGGGGGAAGACTCTGGTTCATTCTGCTTCATCCCTTCATTCTCCATTGTTTGGGGGCTGGTTGCGGCGTGTGGCGAAGAACCAGGTGTCCCAGGCTGGGACTGCACTACGGGTTTCAGGAGTGCAGACTGGTCCCTAGGCTCTTCTTCTTCATGATCGAGTTTATCCGGGTGGGACAACTCCAAAACCACGGATGTAGCGGCGGGAGTAGAATTCTGGGTACCGGAAGAATGGGACAGGGGGCTGGGCGAAACAGAAGTACCGTCACCTTTGTTCCTTTTTGGAAGGAAATCATCATCCGAGAGTCCCTCCCGCAGCCGTTTCTGGGACGGAGTGGGCCTCCTGAGCCCAGGGATGGCAGAGATGGGGATGGCATTCAGAGCAGCATCCGGATTGCGTACAACTAGGGTAGTGGAGCCGCCCTGAGCTTGATTTCCGGAAGAGCTCACAGCCGGGATAGATTCTGCGGAGGAAGACACCTTTGATTTCCCGGGAGAAGGCATTCCCTTAAAGGGAATGGGGTCAGGACCCAGGGGGTAATAGAAACCTGCCTTCTTGTACAACTCAACTTCCTGGAGGGAGTGGTGGGGAATTAAACCTTCTTTCCCCCTTAAGGCGTTAGTACACTCCCGCCACCGAATCTGCTGAAGCAAACTTTGTCCGGGAAATGGAACGGCGGAGGACAGCGCCCGGCAGGTCGATGGGGCTATGAACCGGAAACTCAATGACGAAATATTTCAATGCCCACCTGTCGATCTTGAGTTCAACCCTCTCGAAAACAGGGAAATTGGTATGAGGGTATAGGCTGTAAAAGGGGAACCCCCCAATACTGAAGAGCAAAAGGAATTCCTCCAGGTTAGGGTTCCTGTCTAGGGCGCAACACTTCAAGATGAAAGAAGTAACATACTTGTGGGCGTTGGCGGTCAATTGACCCGGAGCAAACCCAAAACGGAGGCAGAGGTCGCGGAGCAGACCATGGAGGGGTAACCTGAATCCATTCTCTACGGAGTGGTAATGCATGACCATATATTTCTGGGGATTCGGATTGTGAGATAAACTGATTCCACCAACGGCATTGGGATGGTGGACCCGGAAGCCTTTTCCCAGGAGCACGGCCATCTCTTGAAGCTCGTCCTCCTTGATAATGGAGGGTTCATGGATCCAGGTTTCAGGATTTACAGGGGCCATTTCGGAAAGAGGAACAAGGATTTTGAGGAAAATGGCAGTCGGAATTCGGGTCGGGTTGAGATCCAGCAGCGAGATGAAGAAGACGAGGCCAGAAGTGGGTTTTATCCGTTGAAAGGTGGACCCAAGGCACTCGAGTGCGACGTTTCTAATCCGACACGAAGATCGAAGGCGGCTCATCATTAGTTTTCTAGCGACACGTCGCCAGAAAACTAGGGGGCTTGTGATGGATATCGGGTCTAGTAGACCCGACTCCAGGCCCAACTAACGGCTCAAAACGGCTCAAGAGGAATAAAATCAGATAGAATGACGGGCTAAGCCCAGTATCCCGCATTGATGAATGGAAGGAGACGGCCCAAACGTGAGGAGGACCAAAGTGACTCAGTCCAAAGGAAGAGTGGGACGCGTGGCCCACAACCTCAAGTTGTGGGCGAAATGGGAAGAGTACGAGACCGGAAAGCGGGGGAATCACAACCCCACGATCTCCATGATCTATTTCTATTTTTTGTGTAATTATAATTACAATATTAAAAGTACTATAAATAGGGGGGAAAACCCGCCATTGTAATCCAAGTCACAACAAGACAATTCAACCAAAGAATATTATTGTGTGATTATATTTCCTTAATTCATATTTCGTTCTTGGTCCGCCATCTGATCGGGTTAATCCCATCAAATATAACATATTACTCCCTCCGTCCCAATTTAAATCGCCTGTTTTGACTTTTGGGCATATTTAAGAAAAATAAAAAATAGAGTTGATTTTCCGAAATTGACATTACTTTTTAGGAGGGGTGATGATGAATGAGAAGATAAGGTGAAGAAGTGTGACTTATTTTAGGGGTAGTTTAGTTATTTTATTTTTAAAAGTTTACGAAAACAACTAACAGGCAACTTATTTTGGGATGGAGAAAAAAGGCAAACAGGCAATTTAAAATGGAACGGAGGGAGTAGTAATATATGATTATATATTTATATTACATTATATTAATGAGAGAGATTGATGAGTGAATAAGTGAATTAAAAAAATAGGAGAGTGTTCATAGGTAAAGAATACCCCCATCTCCTCCAAACGGCTATAAAACTGTTGGAGGCGCTCCCCACGGCCCACTTGGATCACTTTTTGCCAGCAAGCAAAAAAATCAAAATTAGACAGGTACGAGTACCGCCGGTTCTTGTTACAAAAAGTGAACACCGGACCTGGTTCAGTATGGGTGGTTTCGGTATTGGCTCCGCGAATCGTGCTACTGTCTCTGTTGTTGGTCCCGATGGCAGAACCGCCAGTACCAGTTCCGTACCGGGATAGTGATTCGATCAAAGTTCATAAATGACGGTGGATCAAGAGAACCAGTATTCCAGCTGTTAAAATATCTCTAAAGATTTCATGCTGAGTATGGAAATTGTTTGTTCTCAGGATGTTCAGGATCCGAGAGTGCATGTATACAGTGGGAGCTCATAGGGACCGAGGACATGTTAGAGGAATATCTTGCCATGACTAATGGGTTGAACTCAGGAGAATTTCAACGAAGTCTTCTACGTGATCTAGAAGGCCAGTGACAACTATAGGTTATGGAAACATAGGTGAACATATTCCTTGAGTGAGAGATTGTTGAGTATGAGGCGATGAAGTTAGGTGAAAGCCAACAAAGAAATTGGAAGAAAACCACCTAAAAGGCTAAAAGCTACCTTAAGCTCTAGCTTAATCATTGTCTCTTTACTCATCTCTATTTAAGAGATCATTGTGTTTGTAATCTTGGTGTGCAACAATAAAGAAATAAAGAAATAATATATGTTTGTTTTCTATTGTTGATTCGTGATTATGTGTGTTTCTGAGTGCGTTAATTCAAAACACTATTAAAATTGAGCTTTTCTTCTTCCATTTCTAGGGTGCTACATACATGAGAAAGAGGGAGGAAATAAAAAAATAAATCATCAAAGAGCATGGTTAACGACACCAACCACTATTGCCCACAACCTTCCTAAACTCCACAGGTATCTCGTCAGGTCGGAAGGCTATGAATAAATAAAAAAAAGTGGATCCAATAGTTTTCCATTGTTGGGAGCATTCTAAATTTAATTTCAATGTATTTATAAACAATAAAATTGAGAATTATTAATATGTATAGTTTATCTTCATAGAGGGATAGACACGTATCGTCCCAAATAAAACACAATTCATCTTAGGTACTCCATACATAAGAAGAGGGGCTAGGGGCAGAAAATTCAGTTCACGAAAAAGGCTACGGTTCATAAATTAGACAGGCGTAGTATGTCTAAAGATGGAAGCAGAATAAGGAAACCAAACATCATCACCCAGACTGAATGACATCTAGCTCGGTCTTCCTCCTCTTGTCTTCCTGAAACTCTGATTTGTATTTTTCAAGGTCATCTGTGCAAACTCTTATAGAAATCTTTACACTGCAAAAAGCCAATAAGAACAACTTTAAAACCAAATTCAAGGTGTTAGCATCCGTCTAATAATTCATTAAGTACTGCATGCTTCCATCTCAGTCCATTCTTATTGTCAACTAAGATGAGAAAAAGGTAAAGAGCAGGGAATGTAAATGCAAAAGAGAGTGACTCAGTTCAACCACTCCAGCGTGTCAAATACATGTACTGCCTTCTCTGCCCAATAATCAACCTGCATTCAATAGAGAAAGGGAGACACAGGTGAGAAACATAAACTCTTTGCTGCAAATCACGCAACCCCTAAAGTCTTGACCTACACCTCAAAGAAATGCACAACCAAAGAAAGATCACAGCAATATACATAAACGCTTCACCCGTATGACAATTCAAGAAGAATCCTGTCACCTAATGACAGGGAAGCACAAATAACACTACTATACCCGCGATTCCACATCACCAATTTATTCAAGAACCACCACATCTAACCATACAGAGCTAATTGCTTCTTGGAGTCCAATTGTATCTGCCCCCTAGTGACCCCGCAATTTATGTACCGCCAACCTGCAAGCACAAATGCACATATGCTGGCACTCCTTGTCCTGGTAGGCAGTGGGGCCTGGTGGGTAGCAGCACACACCACGGTTGGTTTTATGTGAATGTCGATGCTGCCCAGAACAAGCATGTGGCAAAGGTTTTCTCGGGCTACAAACTCAAATAGCTGATGACAACCATGTCATTGCCAGAACCGTAGTGAATGTGTTGCAACAAAGAAGCTAAAACCCAAGGAATTGGGAAGGCACACAAAAACCAACACAGATCCATAGAACAAAATACTCCCTCCATCCCTAAATGATCTTTCATTCCTTTTCCTCCGTCCTTAAATAGTCATCACTTTCCTTTAAGGAAAAGAATATGTGACTAGGATAGTTTCTATCTTCTCATCAATTTCTAACAACTCCTTTTTCACTTTCTGCACTTTTCTTAACCAGCTAATCAAGGAAAGTGTATCAAATAGGAAACACAGGTGACAATCTAAAGCGCTTTGCAATTAGGGGTGCTATTGTTTCCTCACCTTTTTGAAATGTGTAATTGTTGAAGCCCGGTCCTTGGATTCCAGAGCCTTCATTGCCTACAAAATTTAGTGTTTCTATAGCTGACAAACAAGTAGATATATAAACTTAAAACAAGATCTTGGATGGACAACATACCTTTTCATATTCTTCGTGCAATTTGGCTCTAAAACAAGGCAAGCCCTTCGGAAGCTCTTCCAAACGCTAGCATAGGCAACAGAGTGAGTAGCAAATGTCAGCAGCCAAAAGGAAAAAAACGAAGGGAATGGTATGTTAGTACGACAAAAGAAAGAGAGATACCGGCTTAAGATCCTCTAATTGTTTTTCACATGTGGCCACCTGGCATGAAACACAAAAGAAATGTAATTAAAAACTATTCAAAACGAGCACATACCATGGTATAACAAGAGAGAGAAAGAGCGAGCGAGAGAATCAAGTAACAAGAGCTACTACATTGTACTAGATTGATCTATAACAAAAGCTTACACAAATAGCACGATAGATTGGATTAGATGCAATCTCAGCATCCAATATTTCAGAAGGAGATATCATAGTATTATATGAACCGGCATCCTGCAAAAGGGGGTAGTACCATATATACGCATGAGAAGAAAGTTCTTAATTTAAATTCTATTCAAGATAACAATGATTACTCCATTAAAGCGTATAATGACAGGCAAAGAGGTGACCAAAGCAAATTGCTCGAGTAGTACTCTTAATACTAAGCATATACTTCCTCGGTCCCATAACTAACTCTACATTCTTTATACACTTTCATCAATCATTGGATAAAATAAAATAACCTTATCACCACTTGTTTCGTAGAACTTTTGATGTAACTTTTTAATATATAATTTTAAATTTTAAACCAATTGTCAAACACTGCAAACCATACAAGAGCCTTACTTTGGGATGGAGGGAGTATACCATTATTCATGACACATCCCGTAATTTACAACACAAACACTTCCATTTATTTTGGGTCGAGACAACGGGTTCGGGATTCTTGCCCACCCCTAGATGGGGGCATCCCAATTTGTTAGTGGGGGCATAAATAACCATAGACAATATATTTTTAGAAAATAGTTGGATCATAATAAAAAAATATTAAATTTCATTGGGAGAGGACGGGGAGAGAGAGAGAGAGGGAGAGAGTTCCTCAAGATCATTCAAAAAATTCTGCATGCTCCCAAACCGAAATGTTGGGTACACATAGAAGAAACAAGCATGACATTTTGCTATATAAAGTTTAAAAAAGACCACATTTGAGTGAAGTTGTGGATGAAAGAAGAGAGAAAAGCAGACGGTGAAATTGAAAACTCGGCCTATATGCTGGCAGTCCAAGTGGATATGCCACTGGGTAAGTTGCATCAAAACAGCAGGCAGATGAAAACAAAAAGAACAATCAATAAGCTGTGAGAATATGGTACATATAAACATGTACATTGATGGAGCAGAATGCGGTGGCTTGGAATGGGTGTAAAATCAACTCTAGGCAACATAAAACGACTGTTCAAAAATAAAGGCATATAGCCAATGGAGCAGAATCATTAAAGAGAGTATTTGTAATCAACTCCCAGAAAACATAGCTCTGTTCACAACGGCCATAAATTTTAAAAATAATAATATAAAGAGANACTGGGTAAGTTGCATCAAAACAGCAGGCAGATGAAAACAAAAAGAACAATCAATAAGCTGTGAGAATATGGTACATATAAACATGTACATTGATGGAGCAGAATGCGGTGGCTTGGAATGGGTGTAAAATCAACTCTAGGCAACATAAAACGACTGTTCAAAAATAAAGGCATATAGCCAATGGAGCAGAATCATTAAAGAGAGTATTTGTAATCAACTCCCAGAAAACATAGCTCTGTTCACAACGGCCATAAATTTTAAAAATAATAATATAAAGAGAAAAGAGCAATTCACTACAATCAACAACAAAAATGAATAATAATGATAACAATATAAGAGGGAAGATGAGATGTGCGTACATGCTTAAAAGAAAATGGCATATCAGCGGGAGGAACATCTTTCGTCTGGGAAAAGGGAGGATCGCTCTGCACAAATATTTTAAGAAATGATTATTTATGTGGAAATTGTAAATCCAATCAGACAACGATTGAAACAAATAGAGAGAGAGAGAGAAATCGAACCCCGAATCTCTGAGCTTTTTGATCTTCAAACGACAATCCTTCCATGCCCAATCTCCGAATGGATTCTCCCGGCAAAACCCTAGTTACCAAATCCGCTATCTCTTCCTCAACCGCTCGCTTGAGAGCTCAATACGATGCACCCACGCACAACCTCATCTAAATAGGGGCCTTTTTGGGCGGGCGGGTATCCATATCCCGTGTCTACCCTAACTTATTTTGTTAGGGGCGATGCTACGTTCACAAACAGAAGGATCACAAACTTCACAAATTTATTATTAATGGTTTAAATTCTCATTTTAAAATTATTTTAAACTATTTAATTTTCTTTATTTAAGTTCACAAATGGTAAGTTTGTGAACCAAGCATTTCCTTTTTTTAGTTATTATTACTCCCCCGTCCTAAAACTTTCTTCCAATAGTACTATTCCAACTTCACGGAAATTTATATTTATTTGTGTTTTCTCATGGAATATATGATAAAATAAAATATTCTTGTCACCATTTGTTTTGTTAAACTTTTGATGAAGTTTTAAAATATGTGTTTTATTTTTTATTTCTATACCAATATTTAAATAAAATAGATTGAAAATATTTGGGATTTTTCTTCATTTTGCGCAACGGGAAGAAAGATATAGGGCGGAGAGAGTAGTATTTAACACGTGCAATGTACGGGGTCGAATGCATATTGTTTTTAACTCTATTAAATTTTCTGTTTTAGTAAATGGTTAAAAATATAGCTAAATATTATATACAATGTTAGAAGTATAATGAATGATACGACATAAATAGAGTATACTAACTAAAATTCATGCATATAAAAATTGAGAAAACGTATAAATGTATTAATTAAATCCAAAGTTTTTGAAAAATTTCAGGGTAATCCACATTTTGGGTTAAATTGCAAGGGTCGATGTTTTCATCTAAAACTAACACTTTTAATCATTTCTTAGTCTTGACTCGTGAAACTGCAATATAAGTTGACCGTGAGTGAATATCAATTTGATCAAGAATAATCCAACAAATGATAACGTTTGGCCTTGACTCTTATTGATCGTCATGCCAAAACATAAAGATATTGGAAATTGGCCCGCCACATAGCCCATTTATCATAACTACCCTACACACATGCCATTCTCTCATTGGTTGCATCGGGCTAGAGGCACGTGTGTAGGGTAATGATGATAAATGGGCAACGTGGCGGGCAGGACAAAGAAGAGATGTGTCGATTGGACTGCTCTAGACTTCTTAAAGCGTCAGATTTGGAAGGAAACTTTGAAAATCAAAATTCTAATGAGAGCACGGCTACCCTATGGTTGCAAGGCATGGTGAGGGATGGAAAAAATACTAGGTTTACTTTCAACCGTTCACGATTCTCACAAAATTGGGAAGTGGAGGACTCATTGATGGGTATAACTAATACCCGACCAGTTTCGGATCCAGAATTTTAAATAGTTGGGGGCACAAAAGGTCGGAGTTTAGGTGAAGCGCCTAAGTTTTTTCAATAGCAAATTTAAAATAATAAAAAAAGTTATAAATATTTAAATATTTTTTTGATGTGATTTTTTGAATAGACAATTTAGGATTTTATATTTTAAAATATTACTTATAATTATATGCATTGAAACACACATTAGTTAGGGTCTCTTCAATTTTAGTTGGGGTCAAATAATAGATGAGTGTAAAAAATTTAAAAAATTAACCTTAAAACTTAAAAATTAGTTGGGGGCCATTGCCCCCTACTTCTAAGGCATAGATCCGCCCCTGTACCCGACCTAAACCTATAAAAAAGTGACAGATCATAAACTAACCAGTAATTTAACTACTGCTTGAGGTAGCGCGAGAAGGTAAGGAAAATGGCTGGTCACGTATTTCTCCAAAAATGACCAATCATATTTCTGCATGGTCATTAGGGGTGGGCAATTGGTCCAGGAATCGCGAGTCGGAACCAGACCGCCAGGTTCGGTCCGAGTTAGATCCGAGTCGTCTTTTCAAAAATTTAAAACGGTCCGGGTCGGTCCGGTCCTTATAGATTTTAGGTTCGGTCCGGTTCCCTATTTTGAAATTTTTTAGGTCCCAGACCGGACTGTTTTTTAAATACCAATATTATTTTTAGTAAATATAAGGATATACGGTATACCCGCCTATTTGTAATTGTTTTATTTTCTTGCCCTCTTTTGTCATTATTTTATTTTCATTTATCCCTCTTTTTTGTGTTGGATGACTTAAAGCTTTTGATAGCTTTTTTTAACATAATAATTCTTATCTCTTGGTACGAAACATGTCAAGGTACTTCATATTAATATTTGTGTCCGAGCTCTAGGAACTGGACAATGGACGTGTGGTGTGATTATTCACACCATCCAATTATCCTCTGAACTTTGAAGGCATTATTCTATAATTCCTACTACGTATTTATTTTGGAGAATGTTAGTATCATGATAGGTTCGGACTCGTTGACCCGTGGAATCGGCCCGTTTCAAACAAGCCGGGTTAGGTTCGGTTCCAATTTTAAAATTTTGAAAACCCGTTCCGACACGGGCCGTCTTAATAAAAACAAGCCGAGTCCGGTTTATAAAAATCTTGGTCGGACCGGCCCGTGGCCACCCCTAATGGTCATTATGGGAAGTGATCCGAGAGATAATCCATTGGATGGACCCAATCTGATTTAGAGGGTTGGGCTGATGGGCACAACGCTCCACCGTTATGCGACTTGATTAATGGCAAGTTTGGTGCCCTTTAATGAGTAGGTCAATGAGCAGCGGGTCAAAGGGTTATTTCTTGATTGGCGCTAAGCTTGTGCCCGATTAAGGGTCTATTGCCTTAATTAACCTCCTCGCCTTATATAAATAGATTGTAAAAGATGGAGGAAGGACATTGAATCATTCATACACATACTTGTACACTCTTAAGACAAAGTAAGAAATATAAGTTCGGGCACATGTATTCTTTCCTAGTATATGTCATTTTCGTGTTCTTACTTTCTTACATGTTTGGCTTACTCAGTAGAACAAATTTTGACCAGGTCATATCCGGTCAAACCTAACCGGTCAAATTTCCACTATCAGGTATTACCCTGTCAAACGACCGCTTTCTTGCAAGTTTGATTACTAATGAAAATAAGTAAAGAAAGTGATTAAAATTTGACTGTGAAAATAATACATGAGAAGAATGTTTTAGGACTAGGAGTAAAGTCATCTTCTCTTCATCTTGATCTGAGTGGAATAAATTTTTATATGATTCATATATAGTTATTGTTAAATATATCAATTATTTAATATATTTAATATTATATATTATAATTATGGTTGTTACCTATTATAGTTAGAGTTATTATTATATAATATTAACTTATATAATTAGTCATTAATGTGGAGGATTCTAGAATATATTCTTCCACCTATAAATACATACTTTGTATTCCTCTTCTGTTCATTCAAGAAATAAAGCATTATTTGTTATTTTACAGTTATATTTAAAAAAAAATATTTTGTTGTGATAGTAATAAAAATAAATTATTTAATATAAAATTTGAGAGTTGATTGTGTAGAAAACTAACATGTGGCATTTTTAAGGCTCAATTTTTCGACATGGGGCATTTTTACACGCATCCTCTCTAGTTTTTTTTCCCACTTCTTCGAGGGACGACGATATTCATGCAGCCGTCTTCATCGCCAAATCTTTGCGTTATTTTTCACTTCTTCAGCGACTTCAAACCTCATGCGGCCTCCTTCTTCGCCAGTTACAATCTTCTTCACCAAAGGTAACCGATTTCTTCTTCGCCAATTACGATCTCTTATTCCGATTGATGTTATGCATACAGATCGATGTACAATTCCTATCTTTCCTTCTACAAACATTAATTTTGTTGGAGAAATTGATACCGTTTGCTTGGTGATTGGCGAGAGAATTCAAGAACTAGGTTTGTTTCCAATCCTTAAAATGTCAATTATCCCAAATTCTATTCAACTTCTATAGTTTCTTTATTACCCCAATTTTTTGGTAATTTTTATTGATGTTCATCGTCAATCATCTCTCGGTGAATTGTTTCCAAGAGACCATGATCGAACCAAGGGTTTAGAATGTAGTCACGATGGCAACAATTTTTGGATTTCGGTGGGATGAAGATAGTGGCAGTCGGGTAGGTTGGTTATTTACACTACATCAATATCAATTTCAATTTTAATTTTCATCCAAAATGATATTAATTTGAGACTGTTTTGATCTTTTTATCTTTATTTTTTTACGTATTTTTTGTATGTCAAAGATGGATAGCTTGGCGTGGTTAATGATGAAATTGGTGAAATTAAAATTCCACCCGAATCCTTGATCCTGAACTCAAGTTCTCCACTAATGACTATTGAGCATTATAGAATTCACGTATCCAGACTTATTGAAAAATATGAATGATTATAGTGTTTTTTATGGATAGACCTTTATTAACACCAACACTTGAAGTTGTAGAAATGATCAATAATTTTGTTTTTTCTTTTATTCCTAGAGATTAAAAAGAGGTATTTGAGCTATGATTCTTCCTGTCAAGCAGATTCAAATATAGGCATAAATGGTGATTGGATAACAACTAAATTTTTGAACGATATCAAGGAATCTGGGATTCTAAACCACAGAATTGTTTTGGAGAAATGAGTACCAATTATGTTATTAAGAAACATTGATCAAACATCAAGGTTGTATAATGGTACAAGATTAATAGTTGAAGAGTTGCGAAGAAATGTTATCGGTGCAATTATTGAATCAGGAAACAATGTCGGTGAGGAAGTTTACATACAAAGAACGAATTTGGTACCGTCAGATCCTGGATTACTGTTTAAGTTTCAAAGAAGACAATTTCCAATATCTTTATGTTTTGGCATAACGATCAATAAGAGTCAAGGCCAAACATTATTATTTGTTGGATTATTCTTGACCAAATCGATATTCACTCACGGTCATCTTTGTGTTGCAGTTTCACGAGTCAAGACTAAGAAAAGATTGAAAGTGTTAGTTTTAGATGACAACGGCGACCCTTGCAATTTCACCCAAAATGTGGTTTACCCTGAAGTTTTTCAAAAAAATTGGATTTAATTTATACATTTATACGTTTTCTCAATTTTTATATACATAATACATGAATTTTAGTTAGTATACTCTGTTTATGTCGTATTATTCATTATACTTCTAACATTGTATATAATATTCGACCCGGTTCCATGGCCACTGGAATCCAGTAACCATGGAAGCCACTGCCCCCTATGGAACTCCGTTCATGAAATTGATGATTCCTACCCCCGGGAAACCCCCTGTCAAGTCACGACCCAAACTCATCACCCACCTACGTCAATTGCACCTCGTAAGCATATTTGACTTTAAAGTCAAAAGTTTTGATTTTATGCTTACGAGGTGCAATTTTCGTAGGTGTGGTGATTAGTTTGGGTCGGGACTTGGCGTGGGGGGGGGTTACCGAGGGGGTTAGGAGGGGTAGGAATCATCAATTTTATAAACGGAGTTCCGTAGGGGAGCAGTGGCTTCCGTGGCCACTGGATTCCAACGGCCATGGAACCGGGCCATATAATATTTAGCTATATTTTTAACCATTTACTAAAACTGAAAATTTAATAGAGTTAAAAACAATATGCATTCGACCCCGTACATTGCACGGGTTAAATACTACTCTCTCCGTCCTATATCTTTCTTCCCGTTGCGCAAAACGAAGAAAAATCCCAAATTTTTTCAATCTATTTTATTTAAATATTGGTATACAAATAAAAAATAAAACATACATATTTTAAAACTACATCAAAAGTTTAACAAAACAAATGGTGACAAGAATATTTTATTTTATCATATATGCCATGAGAAAACACAAATAAATATAAATTTCCGTGAAATTGGAATAGTACTATTGGAAGAAAGTTTTAGGACGGGGGAGTAATAATAACTAAAAAAAGGAAATGTTTGGTTCACAAACTTACCATTTGTGAACATCAATAAAGAAAATTAAATAGTCTAAAATAATTTTAAAATGAGAATTTAAACCATTAATAGTAAATTTGTGAAGTTTGTGATTCTGCTGTTTGTTAACATAACATTGCCCCTAAAAAAATAAGTTAGGGTCGACATGGGATATGGATACCCGCCCGCCCAAAAAGGCCCTATTTAGATCAATATTTTTAAGCTCGGACCGGACCGGTCGGTCCACCCGGTCCGACCGCGACCCAGCTATTTGTCCGGTCCGGTTTAACCTTAAACCTAGTTTTAATAAAAACCGGAATAACCCGTATGAACCGGTGACCCGTTCGACCCGGATCGACCCATACAGTTCACGGGTCTGAAGCTTTTCCCATATTTTACTGAAAAATTTAATGAGTTGAAGGAGAATCGAACCCACGCACGCACGTTCACTCCGACATTGAAGGACCAGCTGACAATCCATGTACAGTTTCTTATATACACCGTACTTACTTTAAAATATGGGCCTTGTCCATACTTATTATTTGAAAAAACCTTCAATTTTTTAAAAAAGAAAGTCAAACTTATGTAATTTAAATTTTCCTTTACGAACTTTAAAAATAATTTAAACTACAGAAGATTTTTTATTTAAATATAAATATGAATAACTCATCTAAAAACTATTATCACTATTCAAAATTAAATAATACGGAGTATTTATTAATAGTAAATAAATATGCTACAATATATCTTTACTTTATTTTTTTCATATTTGAACCAACTAACTATAAGTTAGAAACAGTAAATCATGCAGAGTATATATAAAACTTTTGGAGAAATAGTTATTATAGGTTCTTTGACCGGGTCGTTGCTTGGGTGCATCATATTGAGCTCTCGAGCGAGCGGCTGAGGAAGAGATAGCGGATTTGGTAACTAGGGTTTTGCCGGGAGAATCCATTCGGAGATTGGGCATGGAAGGATTGTCGTTTGAAGATCAAAAAGCTCAGAGATTCGGGGTTCGATTTCTCTCTCTCTCTCTCTCTATTTGTTTCAATCGTTGTCTGATTGGATTTACCATTTCCACATAAATAATCATTTCTTAAAATATTTGTGCAGAGCGATCCTCCCTTTTCCCAGACGAAAGATGTTCCTCCCGCTGATATGCCATTTTCTTTTAAGCATGTACGCACATCTCATCTTCCCTCTTATATTGTTATCATTATTATTCATTTTTGTTGTTGATTGTAGTGAATTGCTCTTTTCTCTTTTTATTATTCTTTTTAAAATTTATGGCCGTTGTGAACAGAGCTATGTTTTCTGGGAGTTGATTACAAATACTCTCTTTAATGATTCTGCTCCATTGGCTATATGCCTTTATTTTTGAACAGTCGTTTTATGTTGCCTAGAGTTGATTTTACACCCATTCCAAGCCACCGCATTCTGCTCCATCAATGTACATGTTTATATGTACCATATTCTCACAGCTTATTGATTGTTCTTTTTGTTTTCATCTGCCTGCTGTTTTGATGCAACTTACCCAGTAGCATATCCACTTGGACTGCCAGCATATAGGCCGAGTTTTCAATTTCACCGTCTGCTTTTCTCTCTTCTTTCATCCACAACTTCACTCAAATGTGGTCTTTTTTAAACTTTATATAGCAAAATGTCATGCTTGTTTCTTCTATGTGTACCCAACATTTCGGTTTGGGAGCACGCAGAATTCTTTGAATGATCTCGAGGAACTCTCTCCCTCTCTCTCTCTCTCCCTTCCTCTCCCAATGTAATTTAATATTTTTTTATTATGATCCAACTATTTTCTAAAAATATATTGTCTATGGTTATTTATGCCCCCACTAACAAATTGGGATGCCCCCATCTAGGGGTGGGCAAGAATCCCGAACCCGTTGTCTTGACCCAAAATAAATGGAAGTGTTTCTGTTGTAAATTATGGGATCTGTCATGAATAATGATATACTCCCTCCGTCATGAATAATGATGCCCCCTTGTCCATAACAAGGCTCTTGCTTGGTTTACGGTGTTTCACAATTGATTTGAAATTTAAAATTAAAAATTATATATTAAAAAGTTACATTAAAAGTTAGAGTGACACCTAATGTTGAAAAGATAGTGAAGGCAGATCTTAGGTGTTTTGGATATGTGGAGAGAACTTACTGAGCATCCGGGAGAAGGGTGTGTAAAATGAAGAATAGATATGTGGCCAGAAGAAGAGGATGACCCAAGACAACATGACACGGAGTGACCTACGGCGATCTACACGTGAATCATTTCACTCTAGATATGATGCATGATAGGGAGCATGCACGTTGTTTGATCCATGTAGTTGACCCCACCTTGTAGGTTAAGACTTGGTTGTTTGTTGTTTTTGCTATGATTTTTGTCTTTTTACGATTCATTTCCTCAATTATAATTAATGATTTCTAGTAGACTTAGTTTTAAAATTTAATTTACTAGTATAAAAGTGTAAACAGAACTACCTAACTAGGATTAATATGTGCCTCCATAAATCAAAATAGGATTTTTAATGTTTTACCCAAATAAGACTTAGCAAAAGATTTCCATGTATAATGCCAAAAAGCACATTGAAATGCCAACCTTTGGCATTACAAATGAGGTCCCCATTTGGTGTAAATTTTCTTGAATGCTAAGCATCTTTTTTATTGATGTTTGATGTTATGTGGCAGATGAATGATGTTCAATTCTTCAAACTCTCTTTTAGCTCTCTATCTGCGTCTGAACCTATCACCGAGCCTGTATGGCTTCTTCTACCTTTATTTTGTTTATTTATCTTGTATTTCTTTCATTTGATAACTGTTTATTACCTTTGTTAATTTAAACGTTTTCTATGTGCACACAAACTATGATGTGGAGCTCCAGCCCCTGTGTGCATTGCCCGAAATTGACAATGACAACCCTGACCCTGAGTTGCTTAAGCGTGTATGGCTTCCCTCTCCTCCTGCCTCGTCCATTAGGCTTCCTTCTTCCTTTATTTTAGTTTTTGTTTTCCCTCTTCTATTTTGTTATTTTGGTGATATAAATCATGGTGTCTTTTCCAGCTTCTTAAACAATGCGTAAGAGATTTGGATTTTTACACACGCCGGTGGCAAAAAAACTACGAGGATGTAAGTCCATTTTGTACATTAGCTCTTCTTCCATCCCATCCCTTTCTCTTTCTCGTTTATGAATGAGAACAATAGAAATGACTATCAGCATTTTTTTCTGTTACTGGAATGTGCCTTGCAGGCCATGAAGTCATATGATCAGCAAGATGGTCAGGAATTAGCCTTTAATTGGATTCAGGTAAACAATTATATATATATATATATATATATATATATATATAGATGCATATATATATGTATATATGTGTATATACATATACATATACATATATATACATATACATATACACATATACATACATACACACATACATATATATACATATATACATATATATATACATATACATATATATACATATATATATATATAAATAAATAAATATATATATATATATATATGTATGTATGTATATGTGTATGTGTATATACATATACATATACACATATACATACATACACACATACATATATATAAATTAAATTTCATGCAACTGCTATGGTGAGCTTGTACATAATTCATTTTGTACCTACACTGTCTCATCTCTCTCTCTCTCTCTCACACATTAACCTGTAGGCACGCTATAGTGGACGAAAAGTTCTGGAAATGCTTGAGCTTGAACACAGGTTAGCTACTTTGAATATCGCATTGTGTTGCTTCGCTGCCATAAATCGCATGCGATAGTTTCCAAGCCAAAGCGTAATGGTTTCATGATATTCAACTTTATTCAATATTAATTTCTGACCGAAGTAACATGGATTTTTTGGGGAATCTTTTTAGTATGTTAGAGCTTTTGTTCATTGCATGGCTTGTTTTCTGTAGCTCCCTGTGCATTATCATCTAAACTTACTTCTACTCTTATTTTTTGATGGAAAAAAAAGCTTTTGCATATAACATGAAAGATGGAAGATTGGGATTTTTTATAGTAGTTTTGTATGCTAACAGAAGCAAGTTGAGGAATAGGGAAGAGGTTAGCTGAATTATGTTTGGTTACAGAAGAAGATTTGGTTTATTGTTGGGGGTAGGAAATACGGGCAGGAGAATAAGGTGTGCCCTAGCATCTTGTTAAGTTTGGTGTTGTTTACTGAGATATATGTCTACCCCTGGATAGGAAAATGAGAAGGGAAAAGAAAATGAGTGAGAAGAATGTCATCAACTAAAAGGGAAGGGTGAGATGGCTTTTATGTAAAGTGCCTACAAGATTATGGATTTAATAATTTGATAATTTTTGGGTGTGCAACTTGTTCATATTGTGTTTATATGATGAACTCATGCATCAGATATTAAGATTGTGTCTGCCTTGTTCTCTTTTAGGTTGAAGGATCTGATGGAGAAAGAAGATATGAAGGCAATTGGTGGTGACTCAAGTGGAGGTGGCAAAAAACACTGGTGATGCAAGTTTGGTCTGTAAGGCAGGCATGCATAAATATTCCAAATGGTGGGAAGTGGGCTAGATCTCAAACTCTGTATTGTTCTGTAACTATGTAAACTCATGAATTTCTTGCACTACCTCTCTTTACTTTGTGGCTGACTCGATGGGGCTTTCCAAACTGTTCTTTTGACACCTTCCAACTGTAACCCATACCCATCATTGCTTTATCTAGTCCGTTTCATCTCCAGCCATTCTCTACATCGTTCTCCTTTCTTCCATTTTTTTACCTTCTCTCTGTTTCTTGTCTATAAATTTACGGAGTAATATTTTTTGTTCGGTTCGTGATTTGTATTCATATGAGGTGATTCGTATTCAACCTTTTCAAATCCGAATACGATTCAAAATAAATATTTGAATCCCTCTCTCTGTTTCTTGTCTTTAAATATATCCTCATAAATAATCATTTTTCATTTTACCCACACCAGCTTTTTCTAATTTTTTTTTTTATAGAAACTCGATCTTCAACGAGAAAGCACACAAGAACTTTCTGTTATTATGTAAGTCATGTGTGTAATATTGAGTACAAATCTATTTATAGAAAAGGGGATAACGGGTTCAGCTGGTGAGAATAACAAACAAATGTCACTTCTCTTAAACTAATTAACAGATAAGTTTGGCTTTATCCATTGAATTCAGTTGTTCCACGAATCTCTCCAAATTCGAGATTATAAAGCTCGGGTTTGTGTCTGTTTTTGCGTGATTATTCCTTTCAATTTGATTCTTACTCTCCATCTCAGAGTGAAAATGAATTTTGGAATCCCTGAAAACTTTTTGGATGTCATTGATATGAAAATGAGCTATGAAACCTTCACCTCTAAAATTTATACTAATAAATTGAAAAATAGTTTTTTAGTAAATTGAAATATAGCTTTTTAAATAAAATTAAAATGCCTCATTATTTAGCCTCTTTATTTCATATTTATAATTTAGAGCATTTGATTTATTTGAAATAACATTTGGGTACTTTTGTGTTCATTACTGAGGTTTTGGTATGTATGTACATTTATATTTTGAAAGAATCACTGATAAATACTCCCTCTGTCCTAAAACTTTCTTCCCATTTTTCTTTTTTCTCCGTCCTAAAACTACCTTCCCATTAGAAAAAAAAGATGACAAATGACATTAATACCCTCATATATTTACACCAATTATCTTCTAACTCTATATTTTGAATGATTGCAAAAAAAAATTCAAAAGAATCTTTTTTAAGGAGGATAAAATTTGAAGTCAAACCCAAAAATTAAAAATGGGGAAAAGTCAAACTGGGAAGAAAGAATTAGGACGCAGGGAGTATATGCTTTGGTGCATATCATGGGGTCTTTTTCGTGCTGGTGAAAAGGAAAGTTCAAGGAATTGAAGATGGGGCATAGTGTATTTTTCTTGCAAATCATACATTTGATTTTTTGTCCATTTATGATTGTAAATGTTGTTGGGTTGTGAAAGATATGTTTTTGTCCGGTTGTGATTGCAAATGAGGCATGTCTTAGATTGAATGGATTAATGCCAAGTGTCTCAAAACTATAATAGCCATTGGATTAACTTTTTCTGGCGGGAAAATTGGGCATTGAAATTGGTTGTGATTTCTCATCACTTTTTATATATATAGAGGGTGTTTGGGATTGCATTTGAAAACAACTTATAGCTTCTACTTTACTAAAACACAATTTTAAATGTTTGCTAATCTGCTTTAGCTTATAAATTATGGCATTAAAAGTTAAAATTAAGGTCTAGAAGTGCTTTCTATCAAAGCTACAAATACATGCTTTCTGCTTCTAAATTATGACTTCTACTTTTACATAACTCACCACACTCCCAAACACCCTCATAGTAGATCTCAAATTCTTATAACATTTAATTTTAAACAACATTTAGTTCATGATAAAAAGTGCCACAGTTTGACCAAAAATTTCAAACTGTGAAAATCTTTCGGGGACGGATAGAGTATTACTCTATATAAAGTATTATCTTATACGCCATCCAAATTAAAGTGTTATTTTGACATTCGACTTGATTTTTTTTCTAAGAATTAAACTAGTTGTACCCCAAAATACATACCACACTTTTTACTCGGAAAGCATCACTAATATTCTGTACTAGTTTAATGTAAGTGTGATAAATTACAATAACACAAAATATTAATGAAGTTTTTTTGATTGAATTAACGTTTTATACACAAACTGTTAAAATACGTTAAAATTTGAGGCATACGTGTAGGGTGTACCCGATAGCAGGAGAGGGTACGGTCTCTTAGAGCAACTCCAATGGAGAAAGGTAAATCAAAAGGCAAAAGAGGGAAAAAAATCCATCTCCATACATTATTGGGAAAAAATTAGTTGATTTACCTTCTTAAATCAAATTTTAATTATTAGAAAAGAAAATATACATTCTTAAAAAATTCATGGGGAGGTAAATTTGAGGTTTGTTGCCTTTATTTCTTCTTGATTAAATTTTTAAATTTAAAGATTTTATAAAAATACAACTAATTTATTGGGAAAAATAATTAGAATGTCAGTTTTGAAATAATTAAATATACATTATGTCTAATTGCACATGTAAAATTATAAATGCCCGAATAGAAAAGACTTAAAAATACAGAATGCAAAATTAAAAAACAAAGTATCTTTTTTTTGTTAATTCTTGACTCGTTAAGTATTACAATTACAAAGATACAAATTAAAAATTTATAATAATACATTCAAGCAAACATACAATAACTAAAGTAATTGATGAAATAAATTTAAAAGGTAGAAAAAATTGATATACCTCTCCAAATGAAGAAGGTAAAGATACCTCTTCAAAATTGAAGAAGGTATAATGCCTCCTTATTTACCTCTCCCATTGAAAAGAGGTATATATCACAAATATTCCTCTTTACCCTTGCATGTACCCCTCCCATTGGAGTTGCTACAAAAAGTCATATTTAGTGGCAAATTTATGATGTCACAAATTATACTTTGCCACAAAAATTCATGTTTAGTAGCAAATTTTAATTGCTACAATTATCACTTTTTTGTGGCAAGTCTAATATTAGTGAGAATTAAATTATTGTTGTTGTTGTTGTAAATAGTACTCATAGTATTTGTATTGTACATGCATTTTACATTTAACAATAAATGCAAAGTCATGTAAAATAATAATAAAAACAAAACATATAAGCTACTCATAATTCAATCCCAAACAATCAAAGGTTCATAATTGTTGTTAATATAATAAGGTTTTGACATAAAATAAAAAAAAGTATTAAACATGACAAAAGTATCCTAAACGCTTAACATCTAAACTTCATCTTTTCATTTCATCTTGTCACATCTATCTCGATTGTAATTCCACCCAAGTAGTAACTGAATGGTATCTCTCTTATTGACCCTTGTTCTGCAAATTAAAAAAATTAAATTAATAAAGAAATAATCTAGTAAATGAAACTAATTATACAGTGTTTAAAATGACCATAGCAACCAGAGCACGTATTGATTTCATTCTTCAAATTAAAAAGTGTATAAAGTAACTAGAGCACGTATTGAAACCATTCTTCAAATTAGATAGTGTTTGGACCCCCTAAAGAGTGTGGAGAAGTTACAATTGTCCCTACCAATGGCATTATACCTACTGTACCTACTGTGACAGACAGACCCTCCCATATGGACAATATATATTAAAGATATTGAGGGCTTAGAGAGAATACACACAACCATGCCTGTTAAGCAGGGGCGGAGGAGAGGGGGGGCATGCCTGGGCAAGTGCCCCCCGGCAAAATTCCAGTGAAATGAGAATAGGGTACCCAATCGGCGACGGATGGCCGGATTTGCCCCCCCCCCCCCAGGTTATTGCAGCGTCGCCTGTCATGCTCTAGCGTCCACCCGATCGAAGGAGATGAGAAGAAGAAGCAGTTTTCGGAAAAGAAAAAAAAAGAAGCAAAAACGACATCGTTTATAATAGGTTTAAAATAATTTATTTGACTCCAATTGACCCCTGCCATACCCTAAGGCCTACTAGGCCCAACAGCCCAACTGTGAAAAAAATAGAGGGGCGCAATTGGCAGTAGCAAAAACGGGCAAACCGAGATGTCTTCCCATTTTGAATTCTTCCAATTTTGAATTCTTTCAATTTTGAGTTTTTCTGTGCTTCTTCTCTCATTGTCTAGGTAATATATCGGAGTATAAATTTTAATTATCTAATTTTGAGATTTATTTCTTAAAATTTGAATTTTTTTAATATTGCTAAATTATATTTTAAATTTTAAATATTTATTTTGTTCTGTGGTTCTAGTGTGTTTGTTGATATTTAAATATTTGATAAATGTTAATGTAATTTTAAGGTCTAGAGATTAAGAAATATAAAATTATTGTTTTAAGCTTATTGATGATAAGCTTCATCAATAAGCTTAAAGCTTATCATCAATAAGCTTATTGATGATGAAGTTATTATGCCACACTTTCAAAAGTTGGCATCTCGAAAAAATTTTCTACAATCTCAAACAACTCTTACTCCTTTGCACATCTTACTTTTACCCATCACATCAAGGGCAAAATTGGAAGTCAATTACAATTTAACACTTCCTTATTTTTATACAAAGTCAAAATAGGAATACTTTTATAGAACGGAGGGAGTATTATGTATTTTGTTTATTTATTAAATGAAATTTTGCCCCCTCATGAATTCTTCCCTGGCTCCGCCACTGCTGTTAAGGATGAAGATATTTGTGCTGCCACAACCTCTCCAACTATTAAACAATTTGGTCCCTTATCTAGACAATACTACTCATCAGGTTTCTTTAAAAACTGATGCTACTGCTGATTCTTCCGCCCCTGAAATAGCTAGGCAGACACATACAACTTCAAGGGTAACCACACAGAAAACAACTCTAAGTGTTCACATACAACTTCAAGGGTAACCACCCCTGAAATAGCTAGGCAGCCACATACAACTCTTAGTGTTCAGATTCAAATCCCAGGAACAAAGAATTTTTATAGAAATGAAACAGTTTGTGTGTGCGTGATGCTGGGCTTATTGCGTTGAAGTCCAGTGTACTGCGTGCCTATGTTGATGCACCTAGAACAATGACCAACTTGCCCCCCTGATGGCTATAGAAGTGTCAACATGGGTTGATTTGTGATGGAGGGAATGGCCATTGCTTGATGGAGCAGATTCTAAGGCATGCTATTCATGGACATACTTGGCATCTTTTGGTGAGCTTGTGGATGTTTCTTGCTGTGTTGTGTGTTGTGGGCAAGGTCATGTCAAATTGGACAGTGAATACCTGCTGGACAGTGACATTTCTGGGCTGGAGGTTGTGTTTGCTGTGATGTTTAGGGCATGCTGTTTGGAGGTTTCTGATTGAGATATGGGCAGTGTGGGGCTGGAGCTGGGTTCCATTGTGTACTTTTGATGTTGAGTTTGGAATGCTCTAGGTAGGCTTCTGTGCAGGGTTTGTTGTAACAGTTAGCTTGCTGATGGGCAACTTGGGCTGAAACTCGTGGTTTTTTGCATCAACAATAGGATGGGCACACCCTTGCTCTACACTGTAAATGCTCAAATCTGCCTAGTTCATATGATTGGGTGACCTTGTCCATACTTTTTGAGGGTTTCGGTTTTGAGGGGCTGGACAGTGGCTATCTAGACTAATGCAGCATCTAAGTAAATCATGAAACACGAGGAAAAACTGTATAATGAACATGCCTGACCTTGAAGTAAAATACTTTGTTAGTTGAACTAGTATTTCAAATGTGATTTTTACTTATACTTTATGGCCACTAACTAGTACTCTGTAAGTATTAATCATCTCCAGCATCTCAAACTCTTTTTTTCCAATCTAATCCTACGATCCACATATTAGTTGGACATTCTACCTTTCAATTGAGCCCTGTTTAATCATGCCAGAACAATAATCAACCAAAGATTAGAGAGCTTAAGTCATTGCTAAAACATAATAACTCAGACCATCCCAAAAAATATATAAACTACACACAACTACATATATAACTGAAACATATAATAAGTATCCCAAACTATGCTTATCACGAACACAAACACAAGTTCTATTGTTGCAGCAGCTGTAGAGCCACCGAGGTCCAATCATTCCATCCATGAGACTTTTTTGGATTATAAAAAGTCGATGGATTTAAAAAATTCATGGAGTTCATATAGAGTTTGGCCGACTTTTTTTTATTGATTTACATGGATTTTATAGAGTTGAGGAATAAAAGAATTCTATTTGTTTCGAGCCATTGAAAACGAGTCTCAAACAATTTGAGGATTTAAACAAAGTTTGGCCAGAATCCAAGACGACAACACAGCCATTGAGAATGAGTTTGAAACACTTTGGGGGATAAAAGAAGTCTCCTTGAGTATTTTTGAAGCATCTTTTCAATGGTTTGTTTGTGGATATCATTGTGACATTTCATCAAACAGTGGGTGTTCCCATGCCAAAAATTGAATTTTAAAAAAAGGGGCTCCAATTTCCTAGGACAAAAAGACTATTTGTTGCAGCAACTTTTTATAAATACTTGAAAAACTCCACAAAATAATCCAAAAAACAAAGAAGGAACTTGAGGATATGTTACTGGATGTGAATTGATGCAGAAAAGAGAAGAAATTTGACAGGTAAAAATGACAAAATTGATGATCGCATCTTGGGCAGCGACATAGGATTCAAATTCCATCTTGAAAAAAAGATAGAGTGAAATTTACCTGGGCTGAAGTTCCGGTAGAAGCTTGAGATGCAGTAGAGGAGATTGATTCCGGCAGAAGCAGCAGAGGAGATTAATTCCGGCAGAAGCCGCGATTGATTCTACGATTGATTCTAGCAGATTGAGGGAATAGGAGTGGAATAGTATGATCGATTGATTCACTCCTTCATCGGATTGAGGAAATATCCGCTAGAGTCCAGGCGGCAGGCGGTTAGTCTGATTGATTCCGGCGGATAGTCTGATCGAGATATATGATACGGAGACCGGAGTATTGTTTAGTTTTTTGGATCGAAATTGTGTGGAGGGATATCCTTGTTTTGGGCTATTTTAGGTTGGGCGGGATCTCAATTGTGTGGAGGGATCATTAAAAATACTTATAAATTAATTCATTAATAAATTCCCTCCTTAATTTTTGAAGTATAGTACGGAGTAGCAATTTTATAAATTTGCTACAATAAGTATACTATTTTGTGGCAACTTTTGAATTGCCACAAATATTAATAGACTATTTATATATTGTGGCAAATATTTATTTTGCTACTAAAAGTTAGCCACAAAAAGTCTTATTTCTTGTAGTGTGCCCTCGTCAAATACTCCATAATCAAAGTAAAAATAAGGGGAGAGATTGGATCCCCTTGTCTAATTCTATACTACCCTTAAAATAAGTTATATTTTTCTATTTTATCTTTTCATTCATCATCACCCTTCCAAAAAAGTAATGACAATTTCGAAAAGTCAATTACTCCGTATATTTTTTTCTTTTCTCTGAATATGTCTCAAAGTCAAAACGGGTAATTTAAAACGAGACGGAGAGAGTAATCACATAGTTTTATTAAGTATAGTGATTAATTTGTTATATAATTGATAACTCAGACTAGATAATCATATTTTACACTTTGTCACTACATCAATATACTTTTTCTATAGGGAGTGTATATTATTTACATTACCAAAAAGTATAGTAATGTACAAATGTATAGTGCCACATTACAACTACATTATCAAATTACGAAGTCTTATTTTACGAATAAAAATATAGAACTTCTATTTTGATATTTTTTAATGTTTTAGTCATATTTAGGGTGATTATTTCTCAAAATATAAATCTTTCATTTTAAACCCAACTTTTATAATTTCATGCCACCTCATTCATTAAATTAAGTTTTAGGTTGGTATATAATTACTTTGTGTTTTCCAAATGAGTCATTAATATGAACTAATTATTGAGATGATTTTCGTTAAAAGTTTGTTATTTATTTTCCTTAACATCAAAGAAAAAAATAGATAAATCATTTGAATAACTTATTATATCAACGTAAAGCGGATGAGATATATTACAATAGCTTTATTTGAATATATTGGTCATTTTTTAATTAAAATCCAAGTGTTTTATTGCAAATAAAAAATGAAAGAAGAACTGTTTTGAAATACGGAGTGTAACGCCCCAAAACATACCCTTATCGAATTAAGTATTTAATTAAACAAATTCGTTTTGATTAAAATAAATTATTATTGGATTTGGTCCAATATGAACTATGTTTTGATATCCAATATCACAATCAGAATAAATCTCATAGAGATAAAGCCAATATGTTGACTATTTGCGTGGCCTTGATTGGGAACCAGAGTACAGACCTACGTTAAGAAATAAAGAAATTATTTTTGATGTCAACTTTGAAATGTTTTATTGAAATAAATTATTAGAATAAATAATATGAATTGGATGAGAGAACCTTTTTGAATAAAGGTCAACTAAATCAATTTTGACTATGTCATAATAAAATCCCAAAAATATGATGTCAGAAAAAGTATTACAAATAAATATAAAAATTATACCGTCGGATAGAGTTTAACTGCTCGATCGAAACGGTGCAAACAGATTTCAATTCGGAAAAAGTTAGACCAAAAAGTATACCCCGTCTGGGACTAAAATTAGTCCAAATTAGGGACTTGCGATTGGAATAAAAAATATCACAGCCCCCTCCACTGTGACGCCAAAACAGGAGAAGCAATGTTATCTTCCATGTCTTCCTCCTCATTCTTCTTCCTATATAGAGCACTGTCCTTCTCCTGCCTCAATTCTTCACCATTTTCCTTCAAATTTATTTTGAGAGTTAGCCTTGAGTGTGGAGAACGCCGTAGTGCTGACAATTTGGTGCGAAGTCGCCAGAGCTAAGCATAATCTTCACTAGAAAATTTTCAGAACTTTCATTAAGCTTTGAGGTAAGCCCGTAGATAAATCTAGTGACTAGAATGTTCGTATAGATCATTTCTACGTTCATAAATGGTCGTTTGGTTGAGTTTTGTGTTTGACATGTTTGAAGATCCAAGAATAATAAACCATGAAATAATTGTTAAAACTATGAATTAATGATAACAAAGTGATCTATGAACCTTGGATAACATTGTTATGTAATTTAATTAAAGTTTGGTGACCAAAAATGGAGTTGGAGAATAACTAATCGAACAAAAAAGAAGATGAATATTGATCGAAAAACGAGTGGAGTGGATCGATCCACCCTACTGGATCAATTACTTGAGATTATTTGCTTCTAGTGTGGATCGATCCTAAGTGCTGGATTGATCCCCCAAATTTCTGATCTTAAAATATTTCCAAAAATGCTATTTTTGAACTCTAAAATGATAGTTTTGATACTAATCAATTATAATCAATATAAAGATGTTTTCGTGGAATAAAAATGATATTTTAGACAAATAAAATCTTATGTGACATATGACGGCAAGCTAGGGCGTTAACACTCGATGCTAGGCCACTATTTGTTATTGAATATTATGATGATGATTATTGTTGATTGATGATTATAATGAATATTATTGATTGATGATTAAACCTTGATCAATATTCTGATTTAAAATGAGAATTATGAATGATTGAATCATGATTAAAAATGAATATAATGATAATTAAGGAAATAATATGGATTGTTAAGGGTATCTAGAATAACTCTAAGATTTACCCATATTGATGTTGATTTTGAAGGGTACCTAAAAGAACTCTAAGATATACACAAATGGCCAACTTAGTTAATTGATATTGATTTTAAAGGTATCTAGAAAAACTCTAAGATATACCCTATTAGTTAGGCCTTGCGGGTATAATGTCCAATGGCCAGGGTTAACACGTACGTACGTGATCTGCAAACGAAACTTAAGGATCACTCGTTTGGGGATACCACCCAACCCGACGGTGAGCATTCCACTGTTCGGTTTCTGGTGACCTTAAGCGAAGGTAAGTTTAAGATTTTGAAAACCCTTTTGAAAATTTGTATCTTAAACTAGGCTTAACTTAAGGGTTGGTTATGAGAATCTCAAACTGGAATATAGTCTAAGAACATTAAACTAGAATTCGTTTAAGAGTTGGTAAACATTAAAGTACCTAAAACTAGAATTAGTTGAAGCATTAAATTGGTCTTAGACTAAGAATAGTTTGTGAGCATTGTTGACATTATGGATGTTGAATATGAATATTGAATATTGAATGATGAATATTGATTATTGAATATTTGAACTGAACGTACATTATGTGCATGATATTAAATGATTTGATTATGAATTAAGATTCAATTTATATAGATGTTCGACACATTAGATATGTTTACTCAGCTTCAACGTTAAGCGTGTAGTATGTTTTATTTGCTACACGCACGTAAATGAAAAAAATGAAGTTACGTATTCCTGGCGGCAGATGGAGCGAGATGGTCGGGATGGATGTGTAAACTTGAATTGTTGTTTTTTAAAATTACATAAAATTTATTATGATATGTAATTGTGATTTATTAAGTTTCCGCGACTTGAAATAGTCCAATATTATTATATTCTTAATAATTTATTATAAAATAAAGTTTTAAATATCTGAAATATTTTGAGTGTTTACGAGTACCAAATTTTTACTTTAGTCCGAAAGGAGTTGCAGACCTGGACCCAATTAAATTGAGTTATAGTTCTGAACATTGAATTCCTATAATACTAATTTGTTATTTGTTATATTTGTATATGGTATCATAAATACACATTGAAAACTCCATTGTATGATGTATATATAAGGGGTGTTTCTTTGTGATGATGCTTACTCACTTATTGCTGATAAACAGTATTTTTAACTTATAAGCTGCTTATAAGTCAAATATTTTTAAATGATAAATAAATCATTTGTAAATATTCATAAATGTTGGAGGATAGTTTTGTAAGTAATCTGGTCAAACGAAGAAATGAATAAATTGAGTTAAAAATAAGTAGCTAAAGACTATTTTTTATGGCATAAGCTACTTATAAGCTAGCTTATAAGAACACAAAAACATGTCATGAGCTGAATTATAAGTTAAAATTGCTTAAGTTAAAATTGCTTGCAAGCAATTTTGATCAATTTACAAGAACACAAAAACACTTGCATAATTTCCCCACTTTGGTGGAGTCGCCCATTTCATTGTGCACGGAGGCATAAGGTTGAACTCACCTCCTTGACTCATATCTTCCCTTTTCAGACCCCCAATGTGTGTGACTTTTGGCGTTGGTACACCCCAACCTTTATAACTCATCTGTTGACTTGTGTAAACTTTTCATTATTCCTAATGAAATTGCATTTCTGCTTCTCCTACTTGCTTGCATTTCATGCACTTTCTCACTCTTTTTAGACCTTGATTCACATATTGTAATTTGATATTAGTGTTTAATTACACTTTGCACTCAATTTCTAACAAATTACGCTATCATCGTGTACTCCTCATCCAGTTCTTCACCCACTATACGTCTATACTTGTTGGATTTTTTTGCATTTTTAGGCATTAAATGGACTAACTTGGATATATTTGTCAATATGTCCACTAACAGTTTTAACCGTTAATTAATGGACGTGTGCTCTCTTAAATGAGATAAATGTTTTGATAATTTATACGCCAAAAATGGTAGAGGGTGAATGAGAAATTGATTCTCAGAGTTAACTCGTTAATAAAAAATATGGTAAGGATTGCAATTTTTGCAATTTTACAGAACCAATCTTCTTTTATTAATTTTACGTATTGTTTAAAATTAGTCCATATTTACGGAGTTAACTGGCCATTAATCTCCAATTATTCGGGACAAATTTTAAACGAAGCGTAGCGTAACGGACGTGTTAATGACTAATTAATCACCATAACAACGTATTAAGTGTGCCACAAATGCCATGGGAGTTAGTGAATCTACCTCCTGGATGCAAACCGTTAGGTTTTAAGTGGATCTTTTGGAGGAAAATGAAACCAGATGGTTCCATTGATAAGTATAAAGCCAGACTTGTAATTAAGGGTTATAATCAACGTGAGGGCTTTGATTATTTTGACATATATGCCCCTGTTTCAAGGATAAATTCCATTAGGATGATACTTGCAATAACTACCTTGCGGAACTTAGAAGTTCATCAAATGGATGTGAAAACAGCTTTTCTTAATGGAGATCTAGATGAAGAGATCTACATGGAACAATCCGAAGGGTTTATAGTTCTTGGTCAAGAAAGGAAAGTATGTAAACTTGTTAAGTCATTATATGGTCTTAAACAGGTGCCAAAAGTATGGCATGAGAAGTTTCACCAAGTAATGATGAACTCTGGCTTCAAAATAAATGAATCTATCACACAAGTGTGTTTATCTAAAAAGCACATCCCAAAGGAATTTCATGTTGTGTCTATATGTAGACAACATACTCGATCATAGTTGGTAGCGATGACAAGATGGTCAAGTTTACCAAAGACATGTTAAACTCGCGATTTAATATGAAAGATATGGGTCTGCCCGAAGTAATTCTTGGAATTAAAATTGTGAGAAGACCTGGGGGTCTAGCACTGAACCAATCCCATTATATTGATAAAATCCTTGACAAGTTCAACAAGGATGCCGTTAGAGTAGCAAAGACGCTGTTAGACGTCAACACACACCTGGCTAAAAACCGAGGTTCCAGTAACTCTCAAATCGAGTATTGAGAGTTATTGGAAGTTTGATATATCTAATGAGTTGCACTCGACCAGATTTAGCTTGTGCCATAAGTAAGCTAAGAAAATACACCAGCAATCCGAGTGATGAGCACTGGAAGGCTATTGTACATGTGATGAGATATCTGCGGTATACACGTGACTATGGATTATGCTACTCGAGATATCCACCGGTACTAGAAGGATACTCGGATGCGAATTGGATATCTGATAGTAAAGACTTGAAGTCCACAAGTGGATATGTCTTTACGCTAGCGGGTGCAGCAATATCTTGGAAATCCTCAAAGCAAACAGTGATTTCTAGGTACACCATGGAGTATGAGTTTATAGCTTTAGACAAATGTGGTGAGGAAGCTTTTGATTTAGTAATTTTTTAAGTAACCTAATTACTACCTCCGTCCCAGAGTATTTGTCCACTTTCATTTTTACACACCATCCAATACACTTCTTTAATCCATTTTATCTTGTAATTTGTATATTAAAAAATTATAGAAATTATATGTTAATAATCTATATGTTAAGACAAATCAAACAAGATCACACATGACTATATTTAGGCTTACACATTAAGAAAATTTGATGAGTCAAAGTGCTTAGATGAACAGTTCCGATCCAAAAATCAAAACTAGACGAATACTCCAGGACGGAGGGAGTATATAATTAGTCGCTTCTCCTCATACCAGATAATATTTTTATTCAGCCTTAAATTCTGATATAATTCCTTATAGCTTACATATAAAATTTCATCTTCTTCCTTATCAGTTATCACTTTGTATGTTGTAGGTTTTTTAAAATGGGTTAAAAATATATTTTAAAAATAGTCAGACGTATATTACTATCTATAAGTAAGCTATGAATATTAGCAGTCATGAAATAACGAAATGAATCCATAATTTAAGAATGTAAGTAAGATAAATACTTATTGCAGGTTTGTGAAAATCTCATAAATGGTAATCTTTTTTCCAAGTGAAAGTTTAAATTTTTTCGAAGTAATATTGGATTGGCTATTTGATAGAACAATAGGATTACTAATTTGATATAAGTTTCACTCATTTAGTGTTGGACCAAATGGTGGTTGCCCTGAGGAAAAAATTATATTTTGTTTTATATCTAATAAACTGAAAATAGTGTTTTAAAGGAAAATACTTCATTATTATGAAAAATACACTCTAGAGCATAAACTTCTCCAGCATTCTTGCAGGCCGGATATCAAATTGTATGCATGAACTAATCTTAATTTAAGATGGGCATGAAATGTAGATGTGTTTAGTTCCATCAACTTTGCCAAAGTGTATGCATATTTTTACAACTGATAAACCCTATCTATCACAGGGGAGGGAGGTTACTAAAACTAACAAAATATGGCTTTATGGGGCGGTGGAGTGTGTATGATTGGAAGGATATTTATACATGCATACCAATATATTGGGTTACATGTGATATTTAATTACCTCTTTGAATTAAGAAGAGTTTTTTTTGCTCCATGAATTGAGTCCTATAATATATGGTGACTTGCAGGGTAAGAATGGACATTTTTGGTTTCTTCCACTTGTAATAGATACTTGTCATTTATTATAATGACTATGTTCAATGGTACTTCCTGTAATTGATTGTTTGGTTAAATATATAATCCATATATTGGCGGGGTAATAGGGAATTTCACCCCCTTGTTGCACCCATGATGGTATTCTCCTATGGAATTGGAAGAAATTGAACAACAAAGAGGTTGTGATGATAGGTTTCTATACTTTCTCTTATTGGGTTCTTGAAATTTGATGAAATGATTCGTATCTTGGTGTGGCTACTCGGAAATTGACACCGGGGAAGCAGCCAAGTGATCTCATAATTTTTTTTCCTCTCTTTTGGGATGGGGGTTTTCTCCTAGTGTAATTGAGACATCAGTATTTTGTGTATTGCTTTCACTTGTGATTGATATTGCTGGATAAAGATACACCATGCACAACCATAATTTTTCCAAAATTTCTGTCAAGACTACAAAAGCAATTCTAGCCCTAGGATTCTTAATGGTGCCACAATTGGAAATGATTTTGGCAAGAATTCTGATTTTTTTGGTTTGTTCCACTTGTAATAGATGCTTGTCATTTATTCTCTTAATACCATAGAAGTTTCTACCCAGCACATGGACATTATGTTAATGTTAATGTTTATAGTGGCTTGTTTGTCCCTTATATGTTTTTAGAAACCAAATACTCCGTAATAATTAACTACAAACTATTGATTACTTAATAAACTTTTTTATGTAGTGTTTTCCCAAATTAGTTCATCATCAAAATTAAATACAGTCCTCAATACGCAACAACTACTTGGTACAGTAATTATTTACTCTATTGTTTGT